CGGTTGTTGATGAGTTGTCTGCCCATATTTTTGTTCTTAAAATGGTTTAAGAGCCTTCTCTTTCAGTATGTAACATAATTTACAGTATGAACATTTTTATAAGTAGATATTACATTTCTCTTTTTAACTCTCTCCTGTCATCTTGATTATTTCCTGTCATCTTGTGATTTCTTAATTGCACTTAGGATTTTGAACTCTTTGCTGAAGAGAATAGAAGGAGAAAATTGTTAGTATCTGGTCACAAGGCAGATTTCAGCACTGTCAGTCTGTGTGCTGGTATACAAAATAAAAGCCTTTCAAACAGTCTCAAATTCTCTTACCCTCCCCACCTTGCCCCTCAGCAGTGTGACATTTGCTTTTCCATGCAAATCAGTCTTTTTAGATGGGAGTAGAATAAGCTTTAGAAAAATTTGAAAGAGAACATGAACATTATTTAAACATATTTAAACAAAAGAAAGAAAGAAAAAAAAGTCCTTTTTTCTTACTTGCCAGAAGGTCTGAGATTTGAATGTTTTAAAGATGGACTTCTGTAGAGAGACCATTTTGGTGGAGATAAGTTCTTAAGTAGATGGAGGTACTTGTGTTCGTTGGTAGGGTTTGTTGTTACCCTTCTACTTCCACCAGCTGTTCCTGCTGCCAATTTAGTATTCCAGTCATTTCCATCTGTCTTCAAGTAAGGCAGTAATCATCTGTGTCAGACCATCTCTGTGATATTTGTTCTGCAAAACCCATAGTTTCACCAGAAGTGGAGAAATCTCTGTGAAGTGTTGCTCACAGAGTGTAGCTTCTCATCACTCCTGCCCATGAACAGACAGCATCATCCCTTTGGAATCTATTAAACCAGAGACCCAAAAGAGCAGGGTGTGTTTATGCTTGGAGCAGAAGGGTTTTTTTAAGTATAGTAGAACACAGAATTATTGAATGGTTTGCATTGAAAGGGACATTAAAGACCATCTCATTCCAAAGCCCCTGCAACTAAACTTCTGGTTGCTCAGATCCCCATCCAGCCCTGGTCTTAAGAACTTCAGGGATGGGGCATCCACAGCTTCTCTCAGCAACCTGTGCAAGTGCCTCACCACCTCCACAGTAAAGAATTTCTTCATAATATCTAACCTAAGCTTATCCCCCTTTTCAGTTTAAATCTATTCCCCTTTGTCCTAATGCTGCATGTCCTTGTGGTAAGTCCCGCCAGATTTTTTGAGGCCAAAAAATCAGCCTGTCCTCAGAAGAGAAGTGCTCCAGCTTCCTGATAAATTTAAAGGCACTCTTAAAGATACTTAAAATAGGTAGTAGCCAAACCAGCTTTTAACCTTTTCTCTTGCTTAAGACCGGGAAAGTACTTGCCTTTTAGTTCAACTAGCTGTAGTTTTGCATTTTTTTCTCCATGCTGTGCCAAAGCTCTGCTCTCACAAATGATAGTCTCAGTTTTCAGGAAGCCAGTGTTTTAGGATAGAGCTGACAATAAAGGCGCTATCCAGATTTTTTTCCAGGGCAGCATATGAAGTTGTCAAAAAGGCATGATCCTTTATAAGGGCAATTGCAAATACAGAGAAAAAGAAGTGATTTTTCTCTGTAAATTATAATATTGTGGGTACCCAGAAAAGTTCCTGCTTAAGGGCCTGATGTGTGAAGCATTACCCACAGTTTTCAAGTCTCTCTCATACAAGATAATTTTAATTTATGTACAAACCTCTGCAAAAAGAACAGTAGAGGTTATTTTAGGTAAAAATGTGTCATTTTTCCCTTCTCCTGTTGGGCCATGAAAAAGGAAGTAGTTTTGGTTTATTTGATTTTTTGGTTTTGTCTTTGATTTTTCTCAAGACATTCTGGGGAGACCAATCTAGTTTCAGCCTCTGGTTACTAGTGGTAAATTTTCTGAGTAGTTTGAGGGGAAGGAAGATCCCAAAAGGAGCAAGGAAAAAAAATCCAGAATATTTACTGACAGTGGTGCAGTAAAAAGAAGATTGTTGTTAGGCACAGGAGTATAATACTCAACTAGGGCTGGAATTCCCTGAAAAAATTGAAACTCCATACTGCAGATATGATGCTGGTTTGCAGTGTCCCTTTGCAGAAATTGCTTTTAAGGTAAGGCTATTCATTCTGAGAAAAAAGGTGAACTCAGAGAATACTCTATTTCACAGATTTAATTTATATTAATCTTATGTCAGCCAGGAAAGAGAGAATATTTGTAAATATATTAAGAGAATCATCAACACCATAACTGTTCTCCTCTGTGTCTGGTGAAGTATAAATCTAAAATATAAAATTAAAATACTATCTTTTCCTCATGTGCTTTAAAAGAAAATAACAACAGCAGCAACAAAAGAACTTGGAAACAGCAACAAAAGAACCCTGGAAATCGTGTTAAGATTTTATCTCCTCTAGTTTTAATCACAATACAAATATTGCAGAATGGTATTAGTGAAATCATAGAATCAGTTTGTGTAAAGTTAACATCTAAAATCAAAGCAACAGCTGAAGTCCTTGAAGTGCAAGTACACTTTAGGCAAGCTCTATCTTTTCATGTTCTTCACACTTACAGTAATATTCCAATATACGTGATATCCAGGTGTTCAAATCAGCATAAATGTATTAGCTATATTTCCCTTTTGAAATGTAGGAAAAAAAAACTAAAAAAATGATGGCATTGATTATTCTTTGGAGTGTAATAACTGGAAAAGTGGTACTTGCATCTGATTATCTTGCATGCATATAGGCATGTGCTGTAGCATATTAGAGATACAGCATTCTTAGTTATTCAGGAAGTTCATGGTTAACTAAAATAGAATAAGCCGCCTCAGTTTTTAGTAAATGTTTAGGTAATTTGAAGATGTTATGCCAAGACATGTTCCTGGATATTGTTATCTTAATTTTTTGTTTTGAATACTCTAAACAGTTACTTTAACTGTCAGGCATCCCTTGGACACTGCAGGGCTTAGCACCAGTAGCAGTCGCCAAGTGTCTGACTTTCAGGCTCAGGATGTTTGATTTATCAGGTGGCAGAATTTATTCCTATCTGTTCTTCTTCCCTAAAATGAGTAGCCAGAATACTGTTCAACATAAGTATGGTGTAAGGCAAAAATGTTTTCGTGTTAGTGCTTCACTCTTCTCTTGACAAAGGGGATTTAATTATCTCACCTGAGGGAGCCAGCAGTTAAAATAAAGTGAGTTTGTTCTAGATCTTTTTGTTTATTAATAAATTTTTTTTCTTTGGATTACTGAAAGACCACTCAGAGTAATTAAGATACCCTCTGAAAATTAAATTCACTGCTGACACAATGTAGAGATACAATACCTACCTTTGTGGTAAAGTACATGAAGTGAAGAATTGTATAATAATATTCCAGTGCAGAAAAGCAACCTTGCTGTGATTAAGGTAAGAAGGCAAGAGATGGTTTCATTGAAAGCCTTTGATTCACAAAAATAGTACATGTTTTGTTGTGTGTGATGGCTGTTGTGGGTGAATCTTGGAAACTGTTTGCTTTTCACACTTTGGTTTTACAGAATGTGCTTGTATGGCAAGTGCAGGCAATGGCTGTTTAGCACTGCTTTGCCTCCCAAGATCAGTAAATATCAGTTTATAGTGTAGGAAAGATGGAGCATTGAAAACTTAATTTATATTATAATTATACCTTTGTCTGTGTGCTTTATAGTGTCAGTTGAACAATAAGCTCATTTTCATAATAACAACTTTGCTTGGGAATTCTGAGTTATGGCTGCTTCTTGGCTTCTAAACAGAGTCTGTGGAAGTGTCACTTGATGCCATGTGGGTTATATCTTTTAGGATGTCAGGTGTAGCTATTGGTAAACCTTTACTGTTACCTTGTTGTGGGCTGATCTTGGCTGGAAACCAGGTGCCCACCAGGCTGCTTTATTACTCCCATCCTCAGCAGGATGGAGCAGGAGAAGAGAATATGGAAAAAAATCACGTGGATTGAGATAAAGGCAGCTTAATGAGGTAAAGGTGAAGGCCACACACAGAAGCAATGGAAAGCAGAAGGTTTATTCTCTACTTCCCATTAGCAGGGGATGTCTTGCTGCTGACAATTACAAATGATGAGTGCACGTGCACAAGCCTCCATGCCTCCACCCTTTAAAGACCATCTCATTTCAAACCCTCTACCATGGGCAGAAACACCTTCCATTAGACCAAGTTGCTCAGAACATTGTCCAACGTGGCCTTGAACATTTCCAGGGATGAAACATCAGCAGCTTCTCTGGGCAACCTGTGCCTATGCCTTTAGAACCCTCAAAGTAAAGAAAAATGCCTAATCTAAATGTACTTCCTCATAGTTTAAGTGAAGTTAGAAGGGTAGGTGTGGCAAAACCAAAGATAACGAAAGTTTCAGTTTTATCAGAGAAATAAAATATGGAACTAATAAAGAAGATAAAACAAGTATGAAGGTAATTGGCCCAACGCTATAGAGACCTTTCTGTGAAGCATGAAAAATAGTGAAGGAATTGGCAGAGATGGATAAAACAGGAGATTTAATGTGTAGTGTAAAATGTGTCTAAAATTATTTTAAAATCATACTTTGGCAACAGAAAATTATAACAAAGATGACAGGCATCAGGAGGATAGATAGTGTCTGTTTTAGGAAACTGGAGTTGTGCCAGATAAATAAGCATTTTGAGGATAATGATTCACATGACCTTTGTAGAAAGTTGCTTAAAAATACTTGAGTACTTCCATTACATTTACTTCAGTGTGAATTAATATCTTCCAAAGAGGAAAAAAAGAAAATAAAAAAAAAAAATCCCGTTTTGGTCTTAAGATGGTGTCATATTTTTAAAACAAGTGTTCATCATATTTTTGGGAGTATATCCATGCAAATAAGAATGTGAAATCAGTTTCTGGTTTATGATTTTCCCATTTCTCCTCCTCATGTTATGACTGGTGTGATGGAAAACCTTCTTACTTTTACATATATATTGCATTAATGGGTTTTTGGTGGGGGATAGCACTGTTTTAACAGAGGTGAATTTTCTTTTTTTTCCAGAACCCTGTCAAGAAAATCCCAGATTCTCATGAAATTACACTCCAACATGGAACAAAGACAGTAAGTGATAATATGTTTTAAACCTGCTTTTCTAGAACTACGCCAGTCTGTGAAATAGTTTAACAGATACTTATCAGCTAAAGTTCAAGAAACAAATTTTTTCCTTGATTTGTTGTTTTAGTCTGTCTCTTTTCTTAGTGCGATTGAAAGCGTGTTTCATGACCACCTCTTCAGTTTCTTGTAATCACTTAAATATGGCTCCATTTGACTCAGTTGTAGTCTCATTTTCATCAAGTATGTTCTTTGTAGCTGTTAGTTTTTCTTCTAGGATAGACCTTCCTAATATGTAGACATGGGTCTAATCTAGACCTTTCTTTGTTCATGGGTTTGAAGAAGAGTGTTACTGCCAATGACTTCTTTGCTGCTGAGTACTTCATTCTACTTCAGTTTAGTGCCTTTGATACACCATTTTCTGTTTCTTGAGATCTTGTTCTTCCTTGTCTTTAACTGCACTTTTCCAGATTTATCTCCACTACTGCTCCTTTGCTTTCTTTTAAAGAGCTACAGTCCAACTTGAAACTATCTTTTTTTGATCTATATATTTCTGTCTCTGTGTAATCATATCTTCCAACATAAACTCTATTGTTTTTGTGCACTGATTGATCAAAGACCTGTGAAGGATGCATTGCATTACACTAAACAAAATAGAGTGGATTTTTCTACACAGACTGAATGCAACTGCTTTGCATATTAATTTCTATGAATATTAGGTTTTGCTGAGTAGTGTGGTAGTGCAAATCAGTTTCCCATTTTACATGTGACTGTAACTGCTTCTGCAGTATATTTCTTGAATACATGTCCTAAAAAACTTTGTTAGATAATTTTTTTGTATTTATTTTTCTCTATAGTAAGCCTGTAAATCTTTCCATGGATTCTTAAAGAGTAAGCTCATGTTGTTTCTAACTAAAAGGCCTCGTAAAGTGGAAGTTGCAGTTCTGGAGGACTTTTGAGATATTTTGACTGCAGGAGAATGGAGCTGTCATCACCTAGAACAGAGATGAATTGTAATGTGGGATGTATATATATAGAACAGTTGGATTAGACTGGATGCGGTGAATGAAACATAAAATTGAAAAAAATATCTCTTGTGCAGAAGGGCTATATTTTTGGGGTGGTTTTGTTTGTATTAGAGCAGTGAAACCATTTACACCTGACCTTAGACACATAAGGATGGGATTAATTCGTATCTTGATTTTGGTGTTTTGCCCCAATGTTTTTTAAATACAGTCTTCTCATTATGTTCATACAGTGTACTGTATTTCAGCTAAACTTATATAACCCATCTGTACCTCTTCAATCTGCTGAATCTGGATTTGATGATGGCTATTCCTGTGCAAATGAGAAATCTCAGGAAAGCTTTCCCAAGCTAGAGAGTCTTCCCAGAAACCTGATCAATTTCCCAGTTGTCTTGCTTGTATGGTGTAATAGGAATTACTGTTCCCAATGAAACTTCATATATATTTTTTTTTCTCATGGTACTTTTGATATATAGGTGGGTATGAGAAAGAATATGAAATATGTGTTTTCTAATATATCACAACTTCTCTCTCATAAAGAAGTTATTGAATAGAACACTTGAGTTTTCTGATTAACCTGGAGATGTCCAGTTTTTCATGTCAGAAATTATGAATGAAATGGCTAGTTTAAAAATTTTCATTTAAGTTGTAAAAGGGGCATATTATTTTTAGAAATGCCTAAGAGTTTCCACATTTTAAAAGATTTCTGCAAGTGAATGCCTCTGAATTACAGCAGGACATTCAGATTAAGGAGGAGTCAGGTGCCTGGTGAATAGGACCATCATTTCAGCCACATCTTAGTTTTCTTGAAAGTACTGTTTTCAGACAGTTGGCTATATTAGGGTATTGTATATTTGAAATACTGTGAGGTATCTGCATTACAGAATCACAGCATTTTCTCAGTTGGGAAAAGACTCAAAAAAATCATCAAGTCTACCTCCTGGCCCTCCTGACCCTGCTCAGCACCATCCCCAAGAGTCACAGCATGTGACAAGAGCATTGTCCAAATGCTTCTTGAACTCTGTCAGTTGCTGTGACAGCTTCCATGGGGAACCTTTTCCACTGCCCAACCCCCTCTTGGGGGGAGGATGTTTTCCTAATACATTTTATTGAGAAGGACTCACCCAAAAAGATCACATCAACTGGCTTCCCTTGATTAAGTGTATGGGTTACTTGATTGTAGAAGGAAATCAGGTTTGATAAGCAAGACTTTTCTCTCGTGAAGCCGTCCTGGTGGTGACTGATGACTGTGTTGTCCTTCTCCTTGCCTTTCTTGAAAACTGGGACAAGTTTTGTCAGTTTCTTTGCAGTTGGGACCTCTCCAGATTCCTAAGAGTGCTTGAAAGTCGTCAAGAAAGGCTTTGGAATAGCATCAGTCATCTCTTTGAGGATTCTCAGATGATGAATCTCATCAGGCTCCATAGGTTTGTAGGGATCCACTTGTAGCAGCAGATTCTGCACAATTTCAGGATTGGCAGGGAGCTGATCATCCTCACAGACATGTTCTGAGACCCCCTTGGTTTGTCAGAAGACAGGGGCAAAGAAAGCTTTAAGCATCTTTGCCTTGTCTCTGACCTCTTTGTGAAGTGCCCATCCTTATTCTGTAGTGGGCTGATATTATTTCTACACTACCTTTAGCCTTTAATATACTTGAAAAAAACCTGCTCTTGTTTTCTCCCATGGTTCTTGGCAGATTCAACTCCAGCTGAGCTTTGGCTGCACAGATTTTTGCCTTGCAGTAGTAAGCAGCATCTGTGTATTCTTCCCATATCACCTAACCTTGCTTCCATTGGGCATATAATTTTCTTTTTTGCCTTATTTCCAAGAGAAGATCCCTGCTCAGCCAAGCCAGCCTTCTGCCTCACCTGCTTAATTTCCTACATTTGGGAATAGCCTGTTCCTGCCTTAGGAAGTGATGCTTAAAAAGTGGCCAGTGACAGAGCTGGCCAGGAACAGCAGGAACCTAAAGGAGATGACTAGAAATAAGATAAGGAATATCTAAGTGAACTTCTCCTCCATGAAACCAGAAAAAGAAAACTCAAAAGAAGCCCATATTATTTCATGTAAGGAAATCAAAATTCTAGGAAAGCAAATTGTCCATCGTAAAGGATAAATTTCATGCATACATGCTGTTTTTATTGGGACAGTTGTTTTCTGTAGGTTACTTTTTCCATGAACTTGTTTCCATGTTTTAAAATATTTTCCGTGGGAACTATTCAACAGTTTACTTAAGTTTTAAAAGTCTCCATAACATAGTGTATATAGATGTATACTAAAGGTTTGAAAAAAAGTATAGTAGTAGACTGATGTATCTTTGAGACAAGTTTTTTTTGGTAGTATTACTATGTGTCTGCATTAAATCATAGTTCATGTCAGTACTTTCCATGTAGACGTACTTTTAAAGAGGATACATATAGGTAAGCATCTTCTGTGTAAAATTACTGTTATTTTTGTATATCCACATCTAAAATTTTTAATACAGTTTTAGGCATCTGAAAGTAATTTCCCTGAGTTCTTTTCTTCCCTGAAGACATTAGGTGTTGTTAACCTGTAGTCATGACACTGTTCTCAGCTGTTGCCCTCTGCTTAGAAATGAAGGAGTTTTTGTTTTTTATTCTGTAATACAGTGTTTTTGTTTGATAGGTGTTTTTTTGCCACATGGCTTTGTATAAGTCAAAAGTTCTTGGTGAAGTATAATACTATTCTTTTTCCTTCATTTTCCGTTTTATCTCTTCAAATGCTTTTCCTAGCATTTTATAAAACATTATCATCATCATCATCATCATCATCATCATCATCATCATCATCATCATCATCATCATCATCATTATCATCATTACTGCTAGTACTACAAGTACTGCTAGTACTACTACTTTATTGTGTTGGAGGCTATCTTTCTTCTTACTGAAAGGGTTTTTCAACATGGTGGTTATCTATCTTTCTGGAATAATATAATGTGGGATAAATGTGGGATGACATGTTTTTGTTTTTTTTTTTTGTTAAAAGTAATCTGTTGATTATAGTCTAGTTTTTACCTGTGGGCTCCATTAAAATCTAAGCATGAATTCCATATGAGTTTTATCTTTTAATGAAAACTTCTTCAGGCATTTTAACACTACAGGTTAGGTGTAATTTTGAGTAATTCCAGAAATACCCTGGTTTTATATTTTTTAATAAAACTTTTCAACACTCTCTTATATAGATGACTTAATTTTTTGAGAATTAGTCTCTTGGTATCTAAATCTATTTAGGACATTGTCCAGGTAATCTTACATTAATGTTTGAAATCATAGTAGTTGATACCATATTTTCACAAAGTAAAAGGAAAAGAAATAATTTTGAAGGTAAATTATTTTGAAAAGTTATTTTATGTAATTTCTAGTGAAATGCATTCTGTTACCTTATTTCTTCATGTAGTGATTTGAATACTACTATTTATTTTAATATATGAAGTACTGTTTGTTGTACTGTAGAACATAATATTACCATTCTTCAAGAAGAGAATTAAAATAGATTTTCAGTAACATTCTTGTTTTACTTGATCTGTGATTTGAGAATAACATAAGAAATTAATAAGCATTAGCATTCTTTCCTCAAAATTTTGAATAGCTCTGAGAAGCTGGTTTTGTATATAAAATAAATCAGTTTTGAGAAGTTATTTTGACCTGTTTTATTTAAAATCTGTGATTAAAAAAAAATGCAAGTTTATACCCTATTTTATTCTTCTCTCTCTTATATTTTTTTTGGAACTGAAATTTAACTAAGCAATGTGTATATGCACATGAGCTGTCTTGAATAAACGTAGAGTCTTAAACTGGTGAATGTTAAACACCGTTTTGTTACCTTGCTAGAAATATTGTTGGTACTTTGACAGAAGTCTAGAGTACAATTTTCTTCATAGAAACAGAACTTAGCCACATTTTGCAGTGAGATGAATAGGAACTAAACAGTGTAAACTATTTTTTCTCAGCAAAAACTATTTTTTCTCAGTCTTTAGTGGTTTATTCATACTATGTAATTTTTACTTCCATTCTTCCTAATCCTTCAAAAGTATTAAAACTTTATTCAAAATGCTGAAATTTCAAAATGAAAATATAGCTAAGATATTTTAGTAAGAAACCAGTGCACCAGGTTGTTTGAAGTTTGGGGGTTTTGTTGGTTTTTTTTTTTTTTTTTCCACTTAGTTGCATTTTATGTTTTGGTGACACCCTGAAGAATGTTAAAAAAAAAAAAAAAAAAAAAAAAGCTTGAATGATTATAATTTTTTTTTCTTTACAGGTTTCTGCTTTGGGGTTGGATCCTTCAGGTGCTCGTTTGATAACTGGTGGATATGATTATGATGTAAAATTTTGGGATTTTGCTGGAATGGATGCCTCTCTCCAAGCTTTTCGGTCACTGCAGCCTTGTGAATGGTAGGCACAAAGACTGCCTTTTGCACTTAATGTTCCATGTTAAGCTCTTGGTAGAATTCACAAAAGCCTTGTAAAGACAGCTTGTTTAAAAGACTCCTGAATACCAAGGAGTGTCCATATTGTTCACTGGTAATTTGGAAAGTAAGTCAGGTGGGTTCATTTAATTATTTCAGAGAACTGACATACAGAAGTCCTTCAACAGTAGTGCACACTGAACTTTCTGAGAAATATATTGCATAAAATAAAACACAGTGGTTTTAGCAAGGTAATTTCTGATGTCTTACTTATGCGGTACAGTTTATAAGGTACTTTGGTATGATTAAAAAAGGGATTGAAATTTATTACACACTGAGTAAGTAGTACTTAGAATGTCTATTTTTAATCATTACTATCTTAAAAAGTTACAGCTGAGTTTTGGTCAGTTTGGAAGGCTAGAATGTGTATAACTGACTACAGATATGCCAAAAATTTAGATGGCGAAAGATGGGAAGAAGTTAGGACTGTTATCCTGAAGAGGAGCAAAATAGAAAGGGATTCTACTGTTGTTCTGGAGTGTGAAAAATCAGAAAAATAAAAAGTGCTTTAATGCACTATGCAGTTTCAATCTCTTTGACAGATCTTGACTTCTTATAATAAGCTGACAAATGACACATTTACTTTGAAAACATAATTAAGTAAACATGCCACTTAGGAATAAATAAATAGAAGTTTTCAAATGTAAAGTGACATTCAGACTTTGCTGGTGTGAGTTTCATTTACATGGTTAATTAGCAGGATATAAATGATATTGTCCTTTCTCTGTCATTACTGAGCAGAAAGAGCTGTCAGTCTTTACTCCCACAGTAGAAAATTATTTTAATTAAGCATTTTCAAGTTTAGAAGAAGTGTGCATTCAAATTTAGTAGTACTTGCTAATAATGTTGTAAAACGTAAATATTGTATAAAAACCATAAGTAGTCCATATGTTAATGTTCTATTTCAGGAATAGCTTGTAAATAAATTGGTAAGCTCCTTTTGTCAAAAAGGATGGTATTGGTAAAATATGAACTTAAAATACTTATTATTCTTGACACTGTTAATTTTGTGTGTTTCAAGGATCTCACAATTATTTTTAGAGAAATGTTCTTAGTGAAATTCTTGTGGTTTGAGTATGTTGATGTATAAATGAAGTACTTATAACATAAACATGAAGTAATATTAAAAATAGACTTGATTGGTATGAAGTTTGGAAATTACACTTCTGATTCAAGTCTCAAGAACTAATTTTGGAAGTTAAAAAAATTATTATTTAAATATGACTTCTGTATCTTTTTCTAAACATAAAACGGTATTAGAACTGAAATGCTAAATACTAAGTTACAATACTAAAGTTACAAGTTGCACACTTGGTTTTGTTGATCATCTGAGTGTTAGCTTCACTGATGGGAAGTAGTGTTAAAAGGTAGTTTCCTGAAAGGTGCTAGGATTTGAATGCCCATACTCCTATTATTAGTGGGAAGATACTTCTTCAATAACTTTGGATGCCATGAGAATCCAAATCCAGCTGGCAAACATGTTCTGGTCCTATACTTGAGATTAATCTCAGTGCAGAACTATTAATTAAGTATAAGTATTAATTAAGTATAATATAAGTATTAATTTAAAGTAATGTTACTGTGTGCATTCTATTAATGTGCTGGGATATAAATTCTGGCAGGTGTGAAGTGGATAGACTGCTTTGCATTCTTTGCTATCCTTGTAATGAAAAATTTGGGATCAAAGGGGTATCTGCTTCAGATACAGCAAGAGCTGTGAAATTTGTTCATAATGCAAGGTGCTGAGAGAATATTCTGAAGCTGTAATTGGGCTTCTTGATCATCAGTCAGCTTTGCACTTTCAGTTCATTTTTGTTGTTTCGGCGTTATTATGGCACGGTTTTTGCCACAGGTCTTCTCAATTGATGGGACATGTATGTGAGTACACTGTTACAACAAATGAACAGACGTCTAAGACATAGTAAACTAGGCAGATGTTTATCTATTGTCATTTTTCCAGGGCTAATGGTGTTATTTAACTTTATCTTAAACTTAGAAGAAATTAAAGCCCAAACCATAGAAAAAGGTGCAAGAATGCTGACCTATGACTAATATCCTGGTATGTGAGGTACAATGAAGTTCTATGTATGACTACAAAATCCTTCAATAGTAGTTTACTGTAATTCCACATTTTACTTTTGGGAAGTTGGAAAAGAATTTTCAGCTCTGAGTAGTTAAATCTGGCACATACTATTTTTCCATTGGAGTTATAATAGCATTCTTAAAGAAATATGTTTGCCAGAAATGACATTTTACATGTTTGATGAGCTGTGTGTGGGTAAAAGAAACATGACATACACATATGGACACACACATCAGAATAAAAAACTTAATTCCATTAGTAAAAGATTTTCTGCTTCCCACCTCTTTGATATAGGAGTGTATATAGATCTGTTTCTACAATATAGTTTCTCATCACTTCTGTTGTAGTGTTTATAGGAATGTTAACTTAAATGTTTTATTTCTCCTTTTCCTTCTGCTTTCTTTATAGTCACCAAATCAAATCTTTACAATATAGCAGCACAGGAGATGTCATTCTCGTTGTCTCTGGTAACTCTCAGGCAAAAGTTCTTGACAGAGATGGCTTCCCAGTAATGGAATGCATAAAGGGAGACCAGTACATTGTGGATATGACAAACACAAAGGTAAGGTCAAGGGCTGGAGGTTTCAGGGCAGGGTCTGGAGGTTGTTTACTTGAATGCTGTGAGTGTAAGACTAATAGGCAACGTTGTGCCTATTTTTAATGGTAGTTAAAAATGCAAATGCAGAAGGGTTCACTCATAATTTTGAAGTGCTTCAACCACAGCTGGTTGTGTTTTCACCACTTTGCCCTTGTATTTCCACAAACTTTGATACAATGGTTCTATTTACCTAGATGATTTAAGTTCAGGTCAGTTTTTTCAATAGCTTAAGCCCAAAAAGTAATGATAAAATCTAAAGCTCAGATGGATGATAAAATTGATTTACTTATTTCTTGTAAAGTATATTGCCAAATAACTAGGCTAAATGCTGTTTTGCCTAAAGCTGTTCTTGTCAGACGACTATTTCTTTTGGCTAGTCATACATACATAAAACCATCAAATAACATCTGCTTTAGTTCTAGTTTGCATAAAAATAATTCAGATTTTCTTTCTATTGTAAATGTCTAGAATTCCAGTATACTGTGGTCCAACAGTCAAAATGCTAAAATATTTGTTATATTGCCTCGTTAACTTTTCAGTATTTCTCTCCTTATTTGTGTTGAAAATAAACTGAAGTCCTTCCAGCATTGTAGGAGTAGTTTCCAAATTTCTCTTTTAATGTAGTCAATAAGCATGTGCCTGTACTTCAAAGAAGTAAAGCCAGCTGGACAATATACTGTCCAGTAATGTAGTTACATTCATAGTCACCACAATGGGAATTGCTTACTTTGCATAAAACATTCACCTTCTGTATTTTCAGTCTTAAAGATGGACAGCTGACTATTTGCAATTTGCACTTCAGTATTTTATGAAAAAATCACTTGAGGTTAAACCCATCTTGGCTCTAAATCTTTGTTTCCTCAATTTTCTCCAACAAGAACTTTGGCTAATATAGGTGGACACTGATGTATTGTGACCCTGGTTAATGTTAATTCTGTTATTTTTCTGTAGCTTGAAAAAGTTTGTGTGATTGTAGTGATGCCTGTTGTTTCATCCTTTCTCTGCATTACAGCTCTCCAGGAGAAAAATAAGTGTGATTCTATGCCATTTTCTGAAAGAAAAAAAAATAAATAGATGAATGTCAGGGTTTTTCTAATTCAGAGGTGAAAATAATAAAGGATGAAATGGATCAAGTACATACAATCTGTTAAATCATTCTGATGTCATTCAGAAGGGTCCAAAGGCGTCTGATTTGTCCCTCAGCTTTCATGTGATTCCACTTGAAGGATTCGGAGTAAAAGTTGTAAAACCTTCTAATACAACTTAAAAGGCCTTTAAGACCTCTGTGTTTATTTCTTTAGGGTCACACAGCAATGCTCAATTCAGGCTGTTGGCATCCAAAGATAAAGGAAGAATTTTTGACATGTTCTAATGATGGGTAAGTATTGAGGTCTATCTTTGAGAGTGTTTTTTGAGAGACTTGTTTAGCTTTTGTGTTTTCCTGTGCCTTAATTTATTTTAAATACAATTCTTTTTAATCTTTAGTAAGTACTTAATATGGTAGGATCTGGATGCAAATACTATATTTGTTTTGCCTCTAGATAATAAATTTACTTTGTTTTTATTATTTTACTTCTGTAACTTAAAATTATTTTGAAATGAAATGTTGTTGGTTAATTGTTTTTACAAAAAATCTGGGACAAAATTTTACTTTACCCTATATTCCTTTGGAGTAGAATAATTCCTGTGGAGAGACTCAGTGTAACTGAATTCACTAAGACTGAGGATTTCAATTGAAAGTTGCAAGTTTCACTTTAGGTGTAACTGAATATTGATGGATGCTGTTTGACAAGTGTCAAAGAGATTGTTAGAATTTATTTTGTGGGTTCAGTCTTGATCTTTGTGGTTAGAATCAAATGGCAAAATGTCACATGTCATCTGCATTAATGAAGTTACTGCAGCTGTCAGTAGCAGGTTCATGAATGATTTTTTTACTGATGTTTCAAATATGCAATCTCCTTTACTCCAGAGTGATGGTAAGGATTCGATTTCCCCACTAATATATGTGTAGAGTGATCCACAGTAAAAAGACTTCAATTATCAATTATTTAAAACATGGTTGGTTTTCTTTTTCCCCTAAAAGGGACTGACTTACTGGTTTAACACATGAAAATATTATTTTAAGAGGAAAGTTCACAGTTTCTATTAAGACTGTGTCAGAATGAGAAAAACCTGAATACTGCATTGTGCTTTATGGAGAAATTAAGTTTTAAAAATACACGTAAGCGAACTATGTTGTTCCAGATTGTAGGCACAAAGGTACTACTTCTATAATAGGCATTACTATTATATGCTAGAATCAATACTTTAGACAGTTTGCTGATATTTTGTATGCAGTAAGACATTAGTAGGGCTTCTTTATTAGGCTGAATAATTTGTAGATCATGAAAAACAAGTTAAGATACTATAAGTTATGAAGATTGTCTAATTTTCTCCTGTGTAATCAAGTCCCTTAATTAATATACCAGAAATGCTGTGAATTAAAATGGTCTGGACAAGTATGAGAAAACCAGATAAACAAGACTATAAATGGTTGTATAATTGCATTTACACAGACACTACATGGCTGGAAGAAAAGTCTTCCCAGCTCATTGCATTTTGCTTCATGCTAGTGTCAGGTCTTCCCAGGATTTGGACATGTCCTGTGAAAAGAAACAATTTGGATTGCTTAATTTTCCCCACAGGGCTTGGAGACAGTGTTCCGTCTGTGAAATTTAATAATAACAGAAACTAAAAAGTCTCCAGAGCTTAATCAGTAATTCATCTTAAGACTGGAGCTGTGAACAAGAATTAAAAAGAGTAGTTCCAGTTGGAAGGGATGTACAGTGATCATCCAACTGTCCAACAAGTTCAGTGCTGTCCAGAAGTTAAAGCCTGTTGTTAAGGACAATGACCAATTAACCATATCTCCAGGAAGCCTGTGTTGGTCTGAGACCACCTTTTCTGTAGAGAAATGCCTCCTAGTGTCCTGTATTAACTTTCTCTGGCACAGCTCTGTACTGTTCCCATGCATCCTGCCCCTGGAGGCCAGGGAGAAGAGCTCAGCACCTCCCGGTGCCCTTCCCCTCCTCATGAAGCTGCAGAGAGCAGTGAGGTCACCCCTCAGCCTCCTTTTCTCCAAAGTGGACAAGCCCAAAGACTTCAGCTGCTCCTCACAGGAGGTTCCAGCTTTGTTTCCTTCTTCAGGACTGAAGGACCTTTCCATCCTCTTCCATCTGCAGGGCCCAGCAGGACCCAGGTTGAGGCTGCCCCAAGGCTGAGCCCAGTGGGACCATCCCCTCTCTGGGCCGGTTGTGCCGTGCTCGGTGATCTGGGATGGGGTTTGTGCTCGGTGCTCTGGGATGGGGTTTGTGCTCGTGCTTGGTGCTCTGGGATGGGGTTTGTGCTCGTGCTCTGGGATGGGGTTTGTGCTCGTGCTTGGTGCTCTGGGATGGGGTTTGTGCTCGGTGCTCTGGGATGGGGTTTGTGCTCGGTGCTCTGGGATGGGGTTTGTGCTCGGTGCTCTGGGATGGGGTTTGTGCTCGGAGCTCTGGGATGGGGTTTGTGCTCGTGCTCGGTGCTCTGGGATGGGGTTTGTGCTCGGTGCTCTGGGATGAGGTTTCCTCAGGGCTGCCCAGGCACTGCTGAGCCACACTGAGCCTGGCACCAGCCAGCCCCACCTCCCTCTGCAGCTGTCCCACCACTCCTCTCCCACTTTACCCCTGTGCCTGGTGTTACTCCATCCCAGGTGCAGAATACAGCACCTGGACTTGTCAAATTTCACCCCATTTAAGACTGCCCAGTGCTCCAACCTATCTAAATCCCTCTGCAAAGGCCTCTTGTCTTTCAAAACAATCCACAGCACCTCCCAGTCTGGATCATCAGCAAATTTGCTACTGGTGCATTCACCTGCTGCATCCAGACTGTTGACAAATACATTGAGCAGAACAGACACTGTAACTAAACAACGAGGATTTTGTTTGTGTCTGGCAATGTTATTCTTCACTTTTGTGATTATTTTCCCAAAGAGGCAACTTTGAAGATTTCCCATGCTGGCCACTAATCCAAAGTTAAAACAAAGTTATGTTTCTAAACATGTATTCTATGCAAAGTGTAAACAAACATTTGCTCGGGAATGTTAAGCATTTTTAGGAATCAAGGAAACCCCTGGAAAAGTAAGCCAAACGTGTCCTGGGCTGCATCAGAGCCCCGTGGGCAGCAGGGGAGGGAGGGGATTCTGCCCCTCTGCTCTGCTCTGCTGAGAGCCAGCTGGAGCATCCAGAGCTGGGGTCCCTGCACAGGAGGGACAGGGACCTGCTGGAGCCAGCATAGGAGGCCATAAAGATGATTAGAAGGATGGAGCACCTCTGCTCCAAGGACAGACTGAGAGAATTGGGATTGTTCAGCCTGGAAAAGAGAAAGCTCTAGGG